GTAACACTCCCAATCTAGGACCTATGAGGCTGAAAATATTATCGTCGTTAACTTACATTTAAAGTGCAATGAATGCAAGCTAATGAGGCATTGTGACTTGTCTACCATGCATTTAAGTATAGACTACACTTGCGAAGCCTAATAAAGATAGTTAGGTCCTACGTTTTAGTTTAAAATGTACTATAAATTTTTTATATTTTATTATTTTATCTATGCTCTTTGGATTAAAGTAACTAGATCCGTGGCGATCAATTATCTCAAATTCTTTTTCTATTAAATTATGTAAATTTATTTAGTCATGGTTCATTATTATTAATTATTTTATTATTCTTTTCCTTAATCTCCATTTATTTTATTTGGTATCTACTCCACTATGTTACTTAAATATTTTGATGATGCTAGAATGTAAATGAATTATTTAAAGTAAATTACAATAATTATGACAACTCTATCATTTTACTACTGGTACTTTGATTGCATATAAGCTACTATTTACATAGAAAACTTGTTTAATGCTAACTATAACAAAAATGACTTATTAGCTATCTACATTCATTTCTTTTAATCATCCATCTACTTTTTCATTGCTTTAACTATTACATAGAAAAATATGGGCATGGCTATAAAATAAACTAGGATATCGAGTATAATAATTGTTATGGTGTGTATGAGATCCATCCTCCAACCGAAGGATCATGCATCCTATGGAAGTGCGAGAATAAATAAAATTTTCTTCCATCTAAGGCTTTAAGATCAAGTTGTTGAATCAACTAACCATACATATATGAATAACAAGCTGCAAGTAAATGATTACCTCTTGTAGTGCGGATCTAAAATTTTTTGCAACAAAGTCGTCCAAGTGTTCGGCCTTTATTGATGATCCATGTAGTCCAAGTAACTATAAAAAAGAACTTAAAATTGATGGGTAATAGCTCCACCTTTTCTGATTTTGTATTTTCTCTAGAAATCAATCCCGGGCAATTTTATGACAACCTTAAAAGAGAAGGAAAGAATATTTCTTGCTAGGGTTTAGGAGAAAACTATTTTCTCCTTTATTTTCACTCTTGGTCATGTGCCCTAAATGAATTTTTTGGGCTCACCGAATTTTCTCTCCCCTTTTTTTCTTTATCTTAGCCGAATTTTCCCTCTCCCTCCTATATATTTATAAGAGAGTTTCCTTGTCCTCCAAGGATAGGGAAAGTGGCGGCTTTGAGTCCGTAAAGGACTACTAGATTGTTACTTCCTTATCCTCTAAGGATGATGAGTTATTTTATATGTAGACTATTTGATTGTTATCTTTAAAACATTTAACCTTATCCAATAAGGTTGATGTTTATCCTCCCACAAAAATTATCTTTAAGCTTTTTAATTAAATCTAATGAGCCAAAACTATTTTAGCCTAATTAATTTATTTGGATTATCTAAATAAATATTCTTAGATTATTTTAATGGGGTCCATATTAGAAAAAGTTTTTCCAAAATATCCTTTAACCTAAATTAGGAAACTTTTTTCCTTTTGGGTTCTTTATTTCCAAATTTGAAACTAACTTCCAAATTATGAAACTAATTTCTAAAATAGGAAACTTTTCATTTTGGAAACTCTTTCCAAAATAGGAAACTTTTATAATTGGAGACTTTTTTCAACATCTTTCCTTCTCATTTGTAATGTGAATAGTTAAAATTATGCGTGTGACTCAATATGCTCCTAGATAAGTTGGCAATGTATAAAGAATAAAAGACTCCTCCTTAATCTCTTGATACATAAATCAAGATTGGCCTCTAGTAAAGCATCATGACTACCTAATTCTCTAGGAGGATTAGTTAATCCATTATTACCTTTCACGAGTATGGTTACCATACAATTCAGTCCTCATGTCAACTTATCACGAGTTTGATCTCGAACGTGGTTATTAGTCTTATTTGATTATGATCACACAAGTTTTATTCAATTTTCAAATGTCTTAGCTCTTAGAGTAGGCTAACTATGCTCTATTGGTGTACTCCTACTATGACCATAGATTTCTTGAATAGATATTTATCAAAGTGTAATGTGATAACTCTTTTGGCATACAAGGAATGACATATCCTATCTTAGTCATACTCCTACTTTCATTAGATTCCTAGTGCACCCAATGAATTGCCTACGTGCAACCCATTAATGGGTCCATCAAAATGAGTGTCAAAGTGCATAAGTCCTCGAGAGAAAATTATGATGACTTCAAGTCTAAGGACCATTTGTACCCATCTCGTATGAGATTTCCATAGACTAAAACCAAATGGGTTCTCATGGTGAGTCAAGTCCGGTGACATGTTCTCTAATATGAATCATCTAAGCGCTTGCTTTGGCATCACCATGCCAATAGGTGCGAGATCTCTTACTACTATCATATAGCATGAGAATAGCACTCACAAGTCTATTCGTATTTGTCAATGTCCATTCTTGACAATGGTACGACTTGAGACATTTATCGATATCATTTATGTGCATTAGTGTTTGTCTCATATCTTTCGATCAATCACTATTGCAAATGCATATCATAGGGACTTCTATCTAATTCTATTGAATATGTAAACGGAAGAATTAACATAGTGACTTCCTTATTATTATCAAAATAAATAATGTAATGATACATCAACTCAAGCCCATCCATATATAGTTGGATCTTGGGCACCTACACTAACACTAACCACATCTAACATATACACGATGGGCGGATCCCTTAGTAGTCGGCTCAAAAGTGAAGAACACCATCTTTACTTATGTTAGCTACACCACAAACATATAGGTGAGCGACGACTCGGTAAGTTAACTAATGCATGCTATGCATGAATAAATCATTTGCATGGTCATGTGAAAATACTTTTTAAGTGATAAATAATTTTCATGATCTATCCGAAAATCCTTTTTCTATCTTTGGATATGTCCCATTATAAGCAATTCAAGGTTTCCATAATATATGTCCAGTGAATCGGATCGTCTACGATCGCACCTTGCTGAGCCTTTAAAAATGCATGTTTACACTTACCATGCCCCGAACCATTACCATTAATGTATTTAAAACCCATGAAGTCCATTCTTATAAATTTCTCAAAGTCATGAAAATCCTATTCCTTAAAACATTTCCAATTGCTATTGAAAAACCATGACGTAAAAACAAGTTTTCATGACCTTAAAATATCTTTCATAAAATTGGGCATGCATATGTATTTTATTGAAAATGCATAAACATTATTGCATCATGAATTGCATGTCATAATATGATGCATTTATTCCATGATATTTCATAAATTTAACAACACAAATGCACCATAAACAATATATTAACAAAATCATTCCAAAACATTATCAATAATCATACCATTACACATGATAAAGCAACATAACTTCATATTCACCAACAATACAAATTTCCTACCACATAAACATTATCAAATACATTAAGTGGCATTCAAAGAATTATATTACACATAAATCACACAAATCAATTTATAAACCCTAAAATCCCATTTTAGGTCGAATGATGTCCATACGTAACCTAACCATTTTCTTCCTACCTTAACATCCATTTCACACATAATTAGACTAAATTTAACTCTAACTTCATGAACTAATTTAATTAAGTGTTATTTAATTTATTTTATATAAATTTTTTATTTTGGGCCATATTGGGCCCAAACTTTAACTTTACTTAAACAAGCTAGATTTTAGGTTTCAATAAAATTTATCATTCTCATTACCTTAGCCTAAGTCCAAAATGATTAATTTAAGCATTAAAAACCAAATCAAACGTAAGCCCTAATTTGACCTAATTTGGGCCGAATGCCCAATTAATCCTAACCTCGTTATTTTCTTCTCCATTCCTTCCCAAATTCTAATGCCAAGTCATTTAACTACACATTAACATTAGGATTCAGTTTAGCTAACATTCCTACAACAAATTCATGCCTAAACACTAATTGAGAATTAATGGACTGAAATTAGGCCTAAACTAAATTGAGTTATTTTCTTCAAATTTCTAGAATTTTTCTTTCTTACTCGCTAAATTATGCTCATTCAACCATTATTTGACTAATAATTCATAAATTAGATGAAGGAATCAAAACTCTAATTTTGTTAGTTTTAGACTAAATGTTAACCTTAAGAATTCATTAAATTTTCTTCAATTTGGATACAATTTTTCACTTCTAAACACTAATTCACACTCAATTAAATCATAATCAAGCCATATAACAACAATTGCATGAAAGGATCAAAAACCCATAAATTACTAATTTAGGCCGAATGTGTCATCCTTCATAACTCTAGAAATTTTTTGATTTCTAATCATCAAATTTAGGTGCAATTAGCCTAATTCATCTTCAATTTCACAAAATTTAGGATTAGGAATATTTTTGTCAATTTTTCTTAACTAAAAACCCTAACCCTAATTTTCACAACTTGAGCAATTAAACCAAATTGATGCACCAAGCCTAAAATTAACTTGAAATTAAGCTTATTTATGGTGTAGGTGAAGTTGACTTACTTGATTAAGCTCTAAATTAACCTTGGAAAGCTCGGTTGCTTATAGATCTCAATTATCTAACTCTTTTATCTTGTTGGTGAGGCTCAATTCTTTCTTAACATGTTTCTAGCTTTCTTGGATTTCGTCCGCGAAGAGTTAGCACGCAATGAACAAAATAGATCTAGTTATATGTTGCGTCTTGGAATGAACGAGCTTCAACATGGTGATTGTCTGTAATCTGAATGACATTATCACTAGAAATATCTTTATGCTAGAAAGGAAGAACATTACGTTCAAACCAAATTGGCCAAGTCATCATAATCTCAGGATTAATGATGAAGCAGGATTTACTCGAGTTTCTTCCAGAAAGTGTCCCACCATTTTGTCTAACAAACAAGTTGATGCTTGGAGGACAACATCTTCACATTCAGGTTTGATAAAGCACCCTTGACAAGCACAAGTTTGTTTTCAATCATTTTTCTTCTTATAGTTGCAACGTTAGCAACCATCACCGTCGGTGTTGGATATGTTCTTCTTTTGCTTCTGGTCATAAGAGATACTTAGCTCCATCTGAGATGAATCCAAAATCTCCCATTCTGCACTGGACGCAGGTGATACAGAACCAATTAATTTCATAGCTGGATTTGAAGAATAGGTGTCATCCGTTGTAGTTTTCTGCTGCGCTTCTTCAAACTGAAGACAGCGTCTACTCTTGCCACGTTGGAGCTGACTGACCTCTGAACCACAACGTGTTATGAGTTGAATAGGTCATTGCAAGTTATGTCTCACATCCTTACCATAATCTTCACGTAGATGAGCAACCTGAACCTTTGAAGTGTCATATTGTTGTTGTCTAGAAGCATGTTTCACAAGTCAGACCCAAAATTCAGACAGACATGAGATGGTTGTTCGACAATGCTTCTTCCCTCCTCTTTAATCTTTTTCGTCTTTAGTTTCAGATTCTGATTGCTCCTTAGGATCCTCTCCATCTTGCTTGGACAAGACCTGAGACGCATCCCTTTTTATTCTCCCTTGTCATTCTCAAAATTATCTTCACGATAAGCACCTTCTTTGTCAGCATCATCGACCATATCATAACTTGGAGGTTGGTTCAAATTTACAAACAAATTAGAGCTTCTACGTGCATGACATTTAAAGCGACCTTCATTAAATTTTAGAGGTTAATTCTGATCTATTAAGAAACAAGAATCATCGAAATTTTTAGCCTCAAAATCATCGTTTAATTTCTGGAAGTTTTATTCTCTAATTTCCTTGTAATCATCGGATTGTAGACCTTGAGCCTCACTTTACCTCTTCTCATACTCTACAAGTCTTTGTTGCAAATGAGCATCCTGACGTTAGGGGTACCACCTCTCGAGTTCTTCGTTCTTTAGTGTCAAAAGTGCAATCTCTTGCTGCAAATCAGCCGGCGTTGCTGTTGTTTTATTGGTGTCATCTTCACAAAACATGTCAGAGAACACGCAATGAAGCAACCTCGGCTCTTAAATCAAGTTGACACCATTTTTACCATGACAAGCTGAATACTCCAAAATATTTGTTTGTTGTTCCCGAATCTATGTCCTTCAAGAAACTAAAGGACTCAAAACCTTCATTAAACAAAAGTAGATCGATAAAAAATTCCAATCCCAAAGTAATTAAGTCTTATAGATGTGTGAATATTTATTAAAGTATGTGGAGTTAATACTTTATATTAGCATGGAAATTTTGTTATGCATGTATTAGTATTATGCATTATGATTGAATTATTAAGTATTTAAGTGTGCAAGTTTAAATCATGTAATACAAGTGTATAGATGACATAAGGACTTAATTGAAATAATTAAAAGTTTAAGGATTTAAGTGTAAAGATTTGAGTCAATTAATTAACAAAGTTAAGTGACTAAATTAGAATGTAAACCAATTTGTGGAACTTGAAGAATTCGGCTAGGTTAGGATAAATTATGGATGAGCTATGTATGAAGTAACATCAAAATAAAATATTAATCATGTAAGTAATTGTTAAATTTAGGAAAGTTCATGGAAATTTCATGGAAGTTACATGAAAGACTTAGGAAATTACTTGGAAATTTCATTAAAATTATATGGAAATCAAGAGGAAAATTTCATGGAAATTATATGGTAGGAAAATAACGATTAAGTTAGGAAGTTACATGGAATTAATTGGGAAGTTTCATGAAAGTTACAAGTCTGAATTTAGGAAGTTTTCATGAAACTAGCAAGAATTAATTATGTGAGGCAATGAAACATGGCCATCTAAATGGTCTTCTAAGTGGCAAATATTCCATCCATTCACCTAGATTAATTCAGCCAAGAAAAAGAAAAAGAAGCAAAATATCTAAGCTAATTAGATAACATTTTAACCAGACTTAACAAACTTGGAATAATCTAGAGAAAGACTTTAGCTTAAATAATTTATACATGTGACAAAATTTATTAGGCTTCCTTGCACCAATGATTCAAACTAGAGAGGGGAAAATAAGAGACAAAACTATAGATTAATCTAAAAGTAATCAAGCAAAGAAATATGAAGAAAAGTTCACCTAAATAAATTCCTTCATGCAAGCCAATTTCCAAGCTTCCATGAAGCTTCATTAGGTCGACAAATTGGCTATAAATAGAAAAAGGGTTAACCAAGCTAAGTTGAAAAAAATTAGGCTAGCTAAACATCAAAAGATAAGAAGAAAAACTGATTTGGTGAAAAGAAGTAAGGGTGGCCGAGAGTTTGAGAGAAGGAGAAATTGCCGATTGTTTGGATGAAGAATTGAACAAGCATTGGCCAAAACTTTCCGAGGAAGAAGGAGGGATTTTGGTGAAAAAATTAAGAGGTTTCAATACTAACAAACTTCAAGAAAATCAATGAAGTGTGAAGACTTGCGGTAAAGTTAATGGTGATGTTGAAAGTAGTAAAGCTTGCCAAGTGTGTATTGTAGGATTATACTTTTCCATCTTTCATGGTTAGTTAATTTTGTTCCTTTAGAATGTTTGAGATGTTTATAAATTAATTTAATGTTTTGATACGTTAGATAAAAGAAATTAATTGAATAAAATGAGATTTAGAGTTTAAGATAATTAAAGGGTTTAATTGACATAAAGGTTAAATATTAATTGGTTTGAATTGGTATGTTATAATTAAATGAATTGGTGTTTTTTAAATCAAGATTACCTTCCAAAGGGCTTAATAAAATATTTAGCTTTCAATGGGATAAATAGAGGTTTTAATTATGTTAATTAATTGAATTTTTAACCTTAGATGTTTTCTATTAAACTAGAATAATTAATAACCAAATATTAAGATTAATCAATCAATAGAATTTATATTTAAATGGTTTATTAAATTAAAAGAGATCAAATTGATTATTTCATACTAAAATATAATTAATTAATCCAAATTTTATGAGAATAGTTTGAGAGAATTAAAAAGGCAAATTGTGCTTAATTATTGTTTGTTAAGCTTAGTTGATTGAATTATACATGAATTAAGTGTTGGACGAATAATATTGAACAAAGCAAATTCCGAGACTGAATTTTATAAGGGGGAGGATGTAACACCCTTGAACCTCAAACATTTTTATGCAATTATAGAAGTATGTGAATATTTATTTAAGTATGTGAAGTTAATATTTTACATTACCACAAAAATTCTATTTATGCATGTGTTAATGTTGTGCATTAAGATAGAAATATTAAGTGCTTAAGAGTGTAAGTTTAAATCATATAATAAAACAAGTGCATATATGACATAAAGACTTAATTGAAAAAATTAAAAGTTTAGGTATGAAAGGGTAAGGACTAGATTGAATAAAATAACAAAGTAAAGTGACTAAATTGTAAAGTGAACCCACTTAAAGGACTTGAATGATTCATCTAGGATATGATGAATTATGGATGAGTTATGTATGAATTAACATCAAAATAAAATATTAATCATGTAAGTAAATGTTAGATTTAGGAAAGTTCATGAAAACTTCATGGAAGTTACATGAAAGACTTTGGAAATTGCTTGAAAATTTCATGGAAAGTTTATGGTAATCAAGAGGGAATTTCATGGAAATTATATGGTAGGAAAATAAAGATTGATTTAGGAAGTTACATGGAAATTTAATGTAATTACTTAAGAAGTTTCATGGAAGTTACAAGTGTGAATTTAGGAAGTTTCCATGAAACTATCTAAGGAAGTATTTACGATGTCCTACTCTGTCCAAGCAAAAGAATACCAAAAAAAAAAAAAAAACAATCTCTCAAATTTTATTCAAAATATCATCAAAAATATTTCACATGTATTGTAAGATTATGCTTAAATACTCATATACAAAAATCCCTAAGCTAAGTTAGTTATGCTAGGAATTCTTCCCTAGTCGATTTTTCCTTTCTTTCCTAACTAGTACTCTTTTCATATCTTCACTTGGACTTGTATATTATTTATTTAATTAGGAAATTATTAATAAAAAATAATTAAATCTATATCCATATTACATTAATTCAAAATAACTAAAAAAAATCCCTAACAATTAAGGATCCATAACACAAAAGATTATCCATGAATGTAGGCTACATTTGGCCTTATCCTTATCCAACAAAAAAATCCACCTAACCATAAAGAATAATTAATTTTAGCTCAAGTACTTACAATTAAAATTAAACTCACTAATTAAAATATAGCCTAAGTAATTAAAAGATAATCTAAATAAATAAAAGATGGTAAGAATAAAAGATAGAGGGTTAAAGTTTCGGCCACTTGAGAGTGTCAAACTTTTGGTCAAGTCGAAGGGTGGATGCTCTTAGATCAAATGGGCAACCAACCAAGTAGAATGGATGCAAGTAGTGAGAGGTGTGATAGAAAGGATAGGTAATACTAATAAAATACAAGTTGCATGATAGATTGATGGGTGGTCAAAACTCGAAACAAATGGACTTTAGATGATGTATGGTGTGTGAGTGGAAGCAATTTGAGTTAGAGACGGATATTTTTTAGGATCAAAAAGTTAGAATCTCTCTCACAATTTCTATGAGGTTGGTATTTATAGTGAATTGAGAATGATAATCGATCACTTTAAAGAAGGCTCCAAGTAATCCCGATCTAAGCTAATGAAAAAATCAAATATTTGAAAGAATAAGTATGAACTTTTATTGCTTTTAAAGTTAGTTAGGTCTTCCCAACCAAAAAAACCTTACAAAGATGCATGAAAAGAGTTCAAATACTACTCCTAAAAGACCTAGTAGCATTCGGTTATGGTCGAAATTCTTCCTCTAGGCCGAACCTCCTCACTTAAAAAATAAATGGACTTATGTAATCCATATTTAATTAGAAATTATACTTATTTAGAAAAATTAATTATGGATCCACCAATTAAAAGGACTCATTAAAAATCTTTCTCAAAAAGATTAGAATCCACAAACAAAAGGATTCTCAATCCCTCTAACATATGACCACTCCTTATAATGTAAAAAACAAGTAATCAATGAGGACCTAATAATTTAGCCTAAGTCCAATACATAAAAATAAATCCAAATGATCATTATCCTATTTGTATGGGAATTAAATAAACAAAACATAAAAATTAAAACATAAAAGCCCAAAACTTTCAGCCATGATGGCATAGAGCATTCGATCACGCTTGAAGGAGGAGACACTCTTGTGTTAGCTTCCTAAAAAGGTTTGGTTGAACATGAAAGGCTCACAACTTTGTTAGTTCATAGCTTGGTTAGTCAAACATGGCACAACAAAAAATGACTCTCTACCATCCAAAAATGGTTGAGCTTGAAAAGATTGTGGCTTCATTGGCATACAACTTGGTTGGATGGATAAAGCACGCCTATGGATGACCACTAATTAGTGAATAATTGCCGAGTATAAATAAAGCTTATAGCCTAGCTAGAGCTCGGCTTGGCCGAGATAGACAACATGTGACCATGGGGGACCAATTATAAAAATTGAATGGTCGAGTTAGAAAAACTCATAGGTTGATCAACATTTAGCTTTTCTAGATGAACTTAACTTAGGCATTAAAAAGAATAAAAAAGCTTAAGGAGGTCATACCTTGCTTAGATTAGTTTAGCTAGATAGTTATGGAATAGCCATTAGAAACAATAACATGACATGAAAAAGCTCACACTTAGATAGCACATAACTTGACGGGATGGATATGATGTAGTTAAAAAAAAAAAAAAGGAGAGAATAAGCGAGAATAAAAAATCACAACCTAATAAGAGCTCCATTTGTACTAAATAGATAATAGCCATAATAAAATTAAAATAAATAAGAATGACAAGGCTTACATCCTAGCTAATGCATAGATTAACCGGGTAGATATGATATTGTCATAAAAAAAAAAAGAATTGTGCTTGAAAAGCTCCCTACCTAACCAACATACAATTAGGCTAGATAGACATGGTGTTACAATCGAAAAATTAAGTATGAAAACTCACAATCTAGCCGGTGTGTACCTTAGCTTTTTTAGATGAACTTAACTTAGGCATTTAAAAAGAATAACAAAACTTAAGGAGGTCGAACTTGCTTAGATTAGTTTAGCTAGAAAGTTATGGAATAGCCATCGAAACAATAACATGGCATGAAAAAGCTCACACCTAGATAACACATAACTTGATAGGATGGACATGACGTAGTTAAAAAAAAAAAAAAGGAGAGAATAATTGAGAATAAAAAATCACAATCTAATAAGAGCTCCTCTATACTAAATAGATAATAGCCATAAAAAAAAGGGAATGACAAGGCTCACATCCTAGCTAATGCACGGATTAACCGGGTAGATATGATATTGTCATAAAAAAAAAAAAAATTATGCTTGAAAAGCTCCCTACCTAACCAATATGCAATTAGGCTAGATAGACATGGTGTTACAATCGAAAAATTAAGTATGAAAACTCACAATCTAGCCGGTGTGTACCTTAGCTTTTTTAGATGAATTAACTTAGGCATTAGAAAGAATAACAAAGCTTAAGGAGGTCATAACTTGCTTAGATTGGTTTAGCTAGACGATTACTGGAATAGCCATCGAAACAATAACATGGCATGAAAAAGCTCACACCTAGATAGCACATAACTTGACAAGATGGACACGACGTAGTTAAAAAAAAAAAAGAGAGAGAGAGAGAGAATAGCGAGAATAAAAAATCACAACCTAATAAGAGCTCCACTATGCTAAATAGGTAATAGCCATAAAAAATAAAATAAAATAAATGAGAATTACAAGGCTCATATCCTAGCTAATGCATAGATTAACCAAGTATATATGATATTGTCATAAAAAAAAAAAAGAATTGTGCTTGAAAAGCTCATTATCTAACCAACTTGCGGTTATGCTAGATAGACATTGTGTTGCAATCGAAAAATTAAGTATGAAAACTCACAATCGGCCGGTGTATACCTTGGCTAGAAGGATAGGTTGTTTCAATAGAAAACAAAAACTAAGCATGAAAAACTCATAGTCTCACAAGGGTACGACTTAGCTAGAAGGACATGATGTAGCCATCGGAAGAAAAAAGAGGATAAAAAAATCACAACTCGACTAGCATCTAACTTTCCTAGATGGACATGATTTTGCTATTAGTAGAGAAAAAAAAAACTAAGCTTGAAATGGTTACAATCTAGACAACATGTAGCTTGACCAAATAGACATATTGTTGCTTTTAAAAAGAAGAATAGAGTATACAAAAATAGCAAAATCACGACCTAGCTAGTGAACAACTTAGACGAGATAGGCATGACATGACATTAAAAATAAAAATTGGGAATAAGAAACTCATAGTCTATATAGTGCATAATTTGGCTAATTGGTCATGACATTATCACCAAAAAAAAAAAAAAAAAAAAGAACTAAGCACTAATATGACCAGCATGCATCTTGGCCATATGGATGTGACATTTCCATCTTAAAAAAATAAAAAAATAATAAGCATGAGATGCGTATGATTTAGCTAGAATGTAACATGGCCAATTGGATGTGTCATTTTCCTTAAAAAAGAACGAATGAGCATAAAATGCTCACAAATTGGCTAATGCATAGGTTGGCCAACCAAATGACTAAGTAAAAGTTTCATAACTTTTCTTTTTATTTATTTGTGTCAACCATGTGTCTCTTATTAAATTTTAAGAGTACAACACTCATGTGTCTTTGTATATATTCTTTAAAGTGTCAAGTTCATAGATTATTTTTTAAACCACAACAAGATATAAATATAGCGAAAAGTAAATTTTTATAGTACTTGCTCAATGTTTTAGCATAAAATGCTCAAGGCTTCTAACGAGTTGAAAACAAGCTCATTGCATTTGGTATTGGTTGATAAATGGAAAATTGATGAGTATAGTTATAGTATGCATTTATAGATTCAACCTCATGGGATAACTATTATCATAGCCATTCCTCATTTTTCTCTTTCCACCCCTACATGTGCTCTTGTTCTTGTGGTTAGTCTCACTAGCCACTAACTTAATAGAAATGTCATTGAGTTTGCCAACCTTAAGCTCTCCATCGTTGTATACTCATTAAAAAAATCATGTCTTAACAAAATGAGTCTTATAGCGCTCAAAAGTGCCTCGGCACCTAGAATGAAGATGTTTATCTTTTTCCAATTATCTTTTACACACCATGCTTGATGAAGAGAATTAAATCATATCTATGGAGGAAAGGTCTTTCAATTAGCATGTGGTAAGGCAAATAAGCATTAATGACATTAAGGCATGTTAGGTGTGGTATAACTCCACTTGAAAGTCAACCACAATATGGCCTTATGTTTGAAAAGAAGTGTTGTCTAAGGCCTCAAGAGTAATTGGTGTACAATTCATATATCTTTGATCAATGCATACATTTCTCCAAGTGATAAGTGGCATGAGATTCAAGAAGAAACCACTATCAACGAGGGAATGGAGCAATCATTCACCTTAATTTCTAAATAAAGTGGACGGTTATGGTAGGTTTTTCCTAATCAATATCGATGAAAAGCACATCATTCTTATGATTCTTTATTATTTTTTTCGACTCGATAATTGGTACCAAAACACTAGTCATACTATTCTTTGGATATCTAGATAGTGGCGATCATAGTTACTTCTTTAGGTTTAATTCATTGAGACTCTTTTCGTCCCAAAAAGATTGACTTTCTTTTTATTTATATTTATTACACAATATTTATCTAGCTAAAATTTTAAGTCATGCATATTTTCTAAAATACTCTAAATTAAAGTCCATTTGAAAAAATAATTGTTCAAATACAATTCTATGTATATGGAAAGTATTAATAAAGATTCTGATATTAGATAACAGTTAATAATCTTTTTAGTTTGCGTGGAAAAAAAAACAAACTCTTTGTGAGAAAAACGAATATTATTTTTTGCTATTTTTTTTTCAAGATAACGGTTAAATTAAATTGGCATATGATGCATTAATACTTGATGAAATCAAGAAAGGTCATAAATCCGGAAAAAAAACATCCCACGAGCAAGGGGATGCGTACAGGTTTCAAATCTCAGTGCTGGCATGGACTCACATAACTCATGAGGTGGTTGCCCCAGCATAAATGTGTGTTGGCGTGTGTGACTTGTGGACCAATTTCAGCACCCAAACGAACTTGCAGGTGTCTCTTTTTGAGATGAGCGAGGGATGCCTGCTTGAATATAATTCAGTTGAAGTGCTTATTGGGGTCCCTACATGCTACCCAAAGAAAGGGACAAGACTCGACATAGCCATGGAAAACCACATCGAAAGCTCCACCATAAATAGCTATTTCTCGTTCCAAATCCGGAACAACCGCTCCATCAGCTTTGAGCAGAATCTTTTCCTAGTTATAAGTACAGAAAATTTTCCTTGATCTGCAAAATGCTTTTAAAACTTATCAGCATCCATTACCACCACCAACACCACCATCAACGGTTTGGCATAAACAACGCGCTAAAGCAATTTTAACTGTTACTAATGGTCCTTTCATGCACAACCTTATCCAGAATTCAGGATTTCTCGGAAGGGAACATGCCCTTGACCCACAGGGTAATGGATTCTCTCTATCAAATATTATACTCCATTCAAAATTGATTTAAGTGAAAAAGTAGCACAACTTGTCTGGAACAGTGAGGAAAGAAAATTTTACAATTGGTATACGTGTCTTCAAAGTAAGATCACAGTCGTTAGAAATTTCAAGAAAACACAAATCATTGTATTGCTAGTGTATAGAGAAAATATCAAATTCATGTGGCATCTTAGCTAATTCATGTTTTTTAGAGTTCCAATCACTTTAAACCACATCAGGGGATCTGAGTTCGGTTAGTGGAGCTGCATCAATTGCCATTAGCCAATTTGCCTGTTGGAGTCATGGCGAATACCAACTAATGCTCTGATAACTAAGAAGCCACTTATTATTTAATTCCATCATAACTTCAATCAAATGTATGTGAAAGAGAGGCTAATCCATCCACTACACTAATGATTTTTATGAAACAACAATGATGTTCTTTTAATGATAATATAGACGCAAAGTCCATACAGATCATCTTTATTTCAAGTGTTAATAATATAAAAGGGAGTGCTCCACTGGAGGAAACTCAAGTCCGCCAAATTAATCCAGTGAAGCCTGATTTATATTTGCATCAGTGGTAAAGACAAGTGCTTTCTCTTTCTTGCTTTTATTCGTTCATTTATTTCTTTTGCCTTTTGCCTTTTTCTTTTTTCTTTTTTTTTCTTTTTGGTGATTAGAAATCTCAGGTGTCGCTGATGATGAGATTTGTCATCTGAAACTTTATCAGCAACACCGTATTGAAGCTTTAGTAGTCCTCCTTCCGGAATTCCAACTATTGTTGTTTAGTTTATACAAGTTTTATTTTTTTACCCAAGTTATGCTACAAATACGAAATAATATATAAAATTATTTTAAAAGTTATTTTAGTTTGATGGTTTTTAGTATATTGAGTCTCTATCAAAACATATCAAATCAAAACAGAATTAACATTTCTTCAATTTTATAATTTTATAATTAAAATTTTATATTTCACTGATTCTTTTTTATATTTTTCATAAATTTTTAAACTAAAATAATTTACAAAATATATCAAATCAAATCAGAAATTTTTTTATTTTTTAATTAAATTTTTTCATGAAGAATTCATTGATTTTGACATTTTTAAATTAATATTAAAAATAAAAGAAAAAAATTAATTAAAAAATTAAAGAAAAAATAAAGACCAAAATGAAACAAAATAATTTGAGGACTGAAAAAATAATATTTAAAAAAGAAAGATCGAAGTGTAATATTATGAAATTTTTTATAGTAAATGGCTTTAGAAAGTTTAAAAACTATAAAAAATATCAATATATAGTGTAAAAAAAAAAAAAAACAACCAAGCATATGAATCTATATAAATAATGAAATGAGTTTGAATGAATATTTATTTCAATACTGCTAATGAATAGTATATATATATATATATATATATATATATATAATATAAATTACCAAAATATGGATTCTTTTTATTTATAATCCAAAGGGAAGGGGAGACGGTCTTGGCTTATACCCCCTTTTACGTATCCCCAAATCCCCACCTCACCCGCTCTACCCATGCATTGAGAAGGTTTCCCCTCAAAACTTCTAAGTTGTAAAAGCCCCAAATAACCCTTCGATTGTCCCTTTAAGGACTACAAACATTGATCATTAGGGTGAAGAACAGAGACCTCAATTCCCCAACACTATCACATGAGAATGTGGTTGCCTAGTCATACTGCGGCAAAGAATTAATTCTGAGAACATAAGCATATATTATGCTCATGTCACTATAGTCTACATGTAGCAGAACGGAGGCAACTCAGAGAGAACGACCGCTCCATCATATGTTCTAATGATTCCTTTTCTTTATTTTCCTTTTTCATCTCTATCACAAAATAATTAACCGCAGAAACATAGTCGGAACATACATATGAGGTGCATAGTTGGGCGTAAAGGTGTTTTTAACTATCATTTTTCATTATTCACCGAAAAAAAAAAACTATCTTTTATTTTTTTATAGTCAAAACTTTAGGCTCACTGTTTAGGTTGATATGATATTAACTTGCGATTGAAGAAGAAAAAATATAAACCGCGCCGTAAGTCATTAAAGTTTAAAATATTAAATTCCAACTTCTAGAGAATTATCATAATCAGCTAGACAATCTGCACACTTTTGAGCATGAGAAGATGAATTTTGATCATTCTTAATTAAGAGATCAGTAGTCATTTTTAAAGTCAACCTCAAGCTCCTTTTTTTCTAAGGCCTTCATTTTAAAAAAATTTGCTTGTGAAAAGTTCCTTAAAAAAAGGCAAGACTATTTTCTTAAAAATGCAAATAGAACAAGTATCTTCATTAGTTAAGTGACGGATGACTGTTTGATAATTTGTAGGAATCTTGCCATGCGCTAGTAGCCAAAGAAAAATGCCAATACGCTAATCAAATTAGGAGTGACGCTAGAATGTCTTCCTTACACTTGGTCGAATATTTCCAAGCTATTGTGGCTAAAATATTCTAACTTATCTATCTGTTATTTGTTTGTTGTTTTATTGTTTTATTTCAATTTTGTTGGATTGAATTATTATTTTATTTTGGATTTTAAATGTATGCACTTTGGCTAATTTAATTATTCCTCTTGGGATGTGGATTCTTATTTTTAAGGATAGTGGCCGAATAGGTTCAGAGAGAATTAGGGTTTGAAATTCATGTGTTATGAATCGATACTTTGTTTAGAAATCTATATTTATTATGGTGTCATAATAATTTAAGGAGTCCACGTGCAGTGTGGATTCTTATTTAATTTAGACTAACTTAATCTAGTCCTTATTAAATTTGAATTACATTAAGTCTAATTAGGTTTAGAAATTATTTTTCTTTTTTTATTAATTCAGCATGGGCTACTTTTTTAAGTCTAATTGAACAATTTTTTTTAACCCTATCCAAATATCTAGCCTAGGCATTTAAGCTTTTTTTTTTTTTTTTTTTTTTTCCGTAATATTTTTTTTTCAGACTTTGAATAACAAACAAACTTTGTGTGAGACCTTTTCTTTCCAAAATTACGTTGTTTGCATAATGTAGGACATGGTTTTTCTATATCCTTGATCAACTAAGATTGTGTTTTGATCATCAGCAACAATTCTTTAAGATGATATATTTTTATCCTTAGGATTTTTGCGTACGTATCTCCAAGTAACTACATACATCTACACAATTAGATCTAATCTTATGTTTTATTTTATTTTTTATTTAGACTTGTTTTCATCATTGGATTCATCTATTATAAATCTTGAAATTGTTTGGATTGATGGATTTGAAGAACAAGGATTTTGGCTAGCTTCATCTTGATTCTTGAGTTTGGACCAAGAGGAAATTATGGGTTTTTAATTTAAGCTTTGTTAGGTTTCTCTTGTGTTTAGTTATCTTGTAATGTCCATGGCTCAACAGGAAGCTAAGAGTTCTATTGCACTATCTCACACCTAAAAGTATAAGGCAATGCATTATGTCCTCCACCCTAGATCTCTATCACATTGCATTGAGAAATTCCTTATTCGATTTAAAGTTCAAGGCTTCCTAAAATTTGACATTTGAGGCTAATAAAATTTTCACAACCTATGACATAACATAAACCATTTCGTTTACATTCTTGAAGTAAAATCCACAAGTGTATAAACCTAAAACATTTATAATCATTCTATACCATTTTCATTTTCATCCTTGGATTAAAATTATCAAGTGCATAATTCAAGTGTAATCCATTCATAAACCTCAATTCAACCATAAACATTGCATTTACCTTTAATCTCATAAAAATATATATTAGCATATTTAAAAACAACAAAAGTTTATAATTTACAACTCAAAATGATCAAATTTAGGCAATATCCAAAAGTGGCCGAAACCTAGAAGCGTTTAGCCTTCAAACTATAAATCTAGACTTTTAGTATAAGATTTGGTGAACTCGTAGCTCACGACCAGCATCCTTAATGCAACTAACCAACCCTCAAGCATTGCCCTACTCACCTATGCCATAAGAAAAGAAAAAATGACGAGTGAGCTAAAACTCCATAAATATAACTATGCATGAATATAATTAAAAAAATCATTTTTCATGCTTGAAATTCTTTTATGTCTTTTGGGTATATTATAATATCGATGACTTAAAATCCTTTTAGAAGGTAAATATAAGGTAAAGATATTTTATTTAATTAATAAAAGTATGTTTAATAAATATGAGGAATAAAGTTTAAACTTTAATTAAGAATGAAATAAACATAAGTAGGATTAAAGGGATAGATTAATGGAATGAGTAGGGCTTGAATAAAGATTCATATAATTAATTGATATGGTTATGTTTTAACCAATAGACACAATTTCAAAATCTAGGGGCATAATCATAAAAATAAAAAGTTTTGGTACTCAATTAAAATGATTAAAAAATTGATGTGACAAATTTATAATTTGGAAATGCCAAGATTATGGGCTTATTTGTGAAAAATTAAAAGTTTGAGGACTAATATTGAAGGATTCAAAGGGCTTGAATGAAGCAATTAAAGGTTTAGGGATTGAAGTGTAAAGTGGTGACACTTTAGGGGACTTATTAAAATCATTTTGAGGGATAAATTTCTCAAGAGAAATATGGAAAAATTGAGGGAAAAGGAGAGGGAGAGAGGTGGAAAAAAAGGAAGAAAAAAAGGAAAAAAAAATTATATAACGAAGAAAGAAAATATCTAAGAAAAGATAGAGAAGATGAAGAAAACTCTAGAAACCCTAACAACCAACCTTGAGATTAATCCAAGCATGACACACTTGGCTTAATCATAAGGAAAAATCATGTCTATAAAAGAGGAAGAAGAAGATGGAAGAAGGGTTACAAGCTAAAAGCTTTCAAGTAACCCGAAATGAAGGGATACACCAACCAAAAGAAAAGTAACCCAACCACCACTCCAAACCACCTTAGATACTTTAGGAGCACCCTAAAATCACTTGAGAACCAGCTTGTAGGATCAAATGAAAGGAGTAGAAGTTACTATTCTAGCATAAACTTTGGGAAGAAAAAGTGGAAGTAAGGAAGATTAGCCAAGCTTCAAGTAAGTGTAATCCTCGATGCACAATAATAAAATAATGATATTAATGAATAATTTATGTTAAATTGAAGTTATCTTGCTTGAGTTTTGATGGTTTAATTATTAGAGAAATCAAGTATGTAAGAATCAATGTTCTTGAGGACTAGGTTCATCCCAAATTTTATACTTGTTTATGTGTAGGTCTTAAAGTGATTTTTGGGTCAAGTTATAGAATAAAAGTTATTGAATTATATTTCTTCTAAGTTTTTGTTAAATGGTTTTGTATTATTTCTATATATAAAGACTTATACCTATTTAAGTGCAGATTGTTCTAGATGACTTACTCGCTGGACAAATTGGCTTTTAAATGGTTAAATGGTTTTGTCATTATTTGTATATATGAAGACTTATACCCGTTTAAGTGAAGAATTATACTCGTTGGATATTTCTATCTAATTTTTGGATATGTTTGGATTAATATGTCTAATTATTACTTGTAAAGGGATAGATTTTAATTATGTCCATAAGTGGATCTATTGCTACTTGTTTAGAGGCTACCTTGCACAAACTTACTGGAAACAGAGTAACAATTGATGTGTATGTATTCTTGATGTTTGGATGACTAATTGGTGTTAATTCATGAGTTTTGAGATTGTTCTTTTTCTTAGAACAAGGTGGATGAATGTCCTTAAACATGATTCAATTGGTGGTTTTAAGATCTAA